AATTAAATCATATCTGGGGATGCTTCATAAGGAAATTGTGCGATTTAATAGAATGACCGATAAATTATTTTTTGTGTTCGTATTACTAGCGTATGTATTTATCTTTAATCAGTTTTCTTTAATGTTTGCTTCAGCGGACAGTGCAAAATTTCGGAAATTTTACAATGTTCATAATGTTTTTCTTATATCATTGGCAATAGTAAGTATTGTATTTTCTTAATTACTTTGTAGTCTAGGCGGGATCTGTTTTGGATTGGAAATTTTCCATAGGAAGCTATTTTTTTCTGGAATCCCTTCAGGATGTGCCCAGTATCGATAATCACGATATGCGCCAGTCACAAACCCTATGCTAAATTTTTTATTTAACAAAATCTGGAAACAATTGAAAATTTCTCATTTTTTTGCTCCTATTTTCGTTTATAATTCGGAAAATATTAATCCTAGAGAAAAAATTATAAGAACTTAAAGGTTTTTTTATTTAATTTTGCACAATATTTCTTTAGCTAGAAATTAAAAATTTAATGTTTATTGTTGAAAAAATAGCAATAATTGGAAAAAAAAAGTACAAAAAAATGAAGTTAATCCTATAAAATGTTTTCGACTTTCTAAACTTGACTTACAAGCTCCATATTCCACCTAGAAAAATGTTTAATATGTTTAAAACGTGTGCTAAATTTTTTAAAATCGGTCGGATAGGTTTTACATAATAATTTTGCAATCCAACCTACTGGAAAAAAATCGAAAATTTTCAAATGTATAGTAGGCCCTAAATAAGGCCCTCAAATAGTTGCAAATTTTTTTACATATAAAGGAAGGCTCAAACTTTCAAACGCTGTTTGTAAAATTCAAATCGGTTTACTAGAAGAGCCTAGAAAATTTTAAAAGTTTTAAACATTTTTTAGGCTTTAAACAAATTGAATAACTTTACGAGCTTTATAGATATCAATTTCAAAATTTATACACTTAAAGAACATTAAAAGACGCTTCTTTTTTTTAAGAAAATAAGATACATTTGGCTTACTAGAACCGAGATATTGAAGGACAAAGTTGGCATACATTTGCCGTGTAACCATAAGTGATAGAGGGCTCTTTTTAAACAAATATCCTCGTCTTGTCAAGTACTTTTTATATGAAAAGTTTTACGTAATGCGCTTCATGGCAACATCCATAAAAAAACCGCTTTCGCGTAAAATTTCGCTCGGAATGCATGAGAGGTGGTGGTGGGGGACATTCACTCGATATGTGAATCAGCGAGTTCAAAATCATACCGTGCGGTTTGTTTACTAAAAGTAACAATCTACTTCAATGTATAGATTTCAAGCTCAAAAAAAACAGTTTTGAGCATTACACAGCAGTATAATAACACGTACAATATACACGTCATTTTCGAATCAAAATACACTGCACCCCAAAATTAACGCATAATTTTAAAAACCCTGGTAAATTAAATAATTTTAATGTTTCGATTTTTGTGCTAATATATTATCGTTACCCCCGGTATATTGTAAAATTTATCGAAAGAACGATAAAAAACGCTGATGTTTTTATCATTTTTTTTTTTTTTTTGCAAAAAATTAAAAACATGCTAATTGTGCTTCATTTTATTTCGAATTTAGTTGGGTTGGATTTCGTTGTACTGAACGTTTAAAGGGGTTTTTCAAGTTTATTAAGTGTTTTTTCTTTGAAATGAACTACCCACAGCAAGAAAATCGAAATTTGTCAGAAAGTGACTGTTTTAGAATCGTTACTCTTCGCGAAGAAGGATACACTCAAGTAGAACTCGCTGAACGTTTTAACGTCACCCAGTCAACAATTTCAAGAGTATTAACACGTTTTTCTGTTACTAGAAGTAACTCGAGAAGACCCGGTCAAGGCCGTAAAAGGGTTACAACTCCTAATCAAGACCGGTTTTTGACACTTCGTACACTGAGACAAAGGTTTGTTTTCAGTACTTCTCTACAAAATGAATTTTTGGATCGTTAGAACTTTAGAATCAGCCAAAATACAATTAGAAGAAGACTTGCCGAAAATGACCTACACCCTGGAAGGGCACCAATTGGCCCATTATTGACCAGAGACCATAAAAGGCAAAGATTGAATTTTGCTCGTGAACATGTTGATTGGAATAATGACGATTGGGGAAGAATATTGTTCACCGATGAATCCAGGTACTGTCTTTTTTCTGATGACAGGAGAAACCAAGTGTATAGAAGGCCTGGGGAACGCTACGCACAGTGTAACACCGTAGGGACTGTACAGTATGGCGGCGGCTCGGTAATGGTATGGGGTAGGATTAATTCAGAGGCTCGTACGGAATTAGTTAAAATAAATCACGGTCGGCTTACATCGCAAAGGTATATAACAGACATTTTAGAAGAGCATGTCGTGCCATTTGTACCATTTATTGGGGATAATTTCATGCTTATGCAAGATAATGCCAGGCCACACACGGCAACAATTGTGCAGCAGTATCGTCAGGAGGTTGGAATTCCTGCCATGGATTGGCCTGCGAGAAGTCCTGACCTTAACCCAATAGAACATGTTTGGGACATCATAGGCAGACGACTACGACAATTACCTAATGCACCAAACACATTAGATGAACTGTTTTTGCGGTTCGTTAAAATTTGGGATCAAATTGATCAAGAAGAACTCAGAACGATTATTCTCAGTATGAGAGATCGTTGTAAAGCAGTAATAAATGCCAGAGGAGGCAATACTCGATACTAGTACACGGTAGTAGTATTTTCTTTAACTTTAAAAACTTTTTTTTTCATTAATTTATGATGTTAGTTTGTTTAGATCAGTTCGTTTAGATGTTATGATTTATGTTAGGATGTTATATTGTTAATATCAATACATTTTTTGTAAAAAAAGAATAGTTTTATTTAAGATGTTCTAAAACAACCATAAAGCAGAAAAGAACAAATAAAATTTTTTTCATTACAACTCAAAATAAGAATTTTAAAATTATGCGTTAATTTTGGAGCGCAGTGTATATTCTCAAATCAAATAATGTCATTATTATGATAAAACTGCAGAAATAAAGTATTTTTAATGTTTGATTTTTATAAAAAAAAAACAATTTAATAATAGGTAGATACGCCGCATTGTTACCTATCCAACGGTAACTTAAACATCACAAATTATAAATACTAATAATGTAAAACAACTACAAATTTAAAACATTTAAAGGGTTTTTACCCATATATTTTGGTGGCTACTAGCATGTACAACCGTTTGCACTGATGATGGATTGACTAATCCGAAAACGTTTTGCAATGTGTTTGTGATAGCCCGTTTGGAGCAATTTTATATACCTTTTATAAAGGATTTTAAATAATTTTTTTTTTTTAAATCACTTGAGAGATTTTATCCGTCTTTAATCTCTCTCGCTTTTTTTAGTTAACCGAACTTGTCTTCCAAAAAGTTAAAACCAGAATGAACGCTAATTGCTAGCCGGATAATCATACCTCCCTACAGCGCGGGCAGGTGTCGCTGTTTAATACCAACTTAGAATTTAAAAATTAAAAAAATTGTTAAGAGGATATGGATTTAATAATTTAAATGAATAAAGAGTTATTGAAGTTACGGCCTCGTTCCATGGTCATACAAGGGAAGGTGGAAGGCAAAAGAGGACCAGGGAGTAGACGCACGTCCTGGTTGAAGAATCTGAGACAATGGAGTGGAAAAATCGGAGTCAATAGAGCTTTTCAGGGCGGCTGCAGATAGAGTCAAATGGGCCATGATGATCGCCAATGTCCTTAGGGATGAGGCACGTTAAGAAGAAGAATTTTTAGAGACGTAGAAGGTAGCATAAGAACCTTCGATTATCCGATAAGAAAATAGATTGCCGATTTTGCAGAAAATGCAAAAATTTTGAAAATTGCTGAGTTAATGAAATGGAATGATTTGCAAATGCTTATTTACTATTTTTAATGTCTTAAATTCGCTCAATACCAGCTTTCCTACTAGCAATTCGCTCTCAATTTCCAGGTCTGATTTTATGTAATTCCTAAAACCAATCAAATGGACAACATCATTAATAAAATTACTAAATTATTTTGAATAATCGTTTATACTAAAAAACATACATTCAATGATGTATACAAATGTGTATTTAATGTACTACAAATGTTCTTTTATCATTTCACAACAATCGAACCATTTGTCAGTACATTTACGAGAACCTTAAGAGGAAAAATGTGTTTTATAAATTTACTTTATAAATACGGGGGTATTTTGGGCCCGTTTCCCTACAAAAATAATATTTCTAAAGTTTTCTCTTTGATACTGTGGATTGCACTGTTTATAATAACAATGATATTGGAATTTGATAGTTTTCAAAAAACACCAAAGTACAGGAGTTTTGATTATGGAAAAATTTTGGTATTTTCATACTTTTTCACGTTTATATTGTTTAATATCTGTTACTTTTATGGTAAAATGCGACATACCACTAAATGGGAAATATTTCTAAACAACATGAATACTCTCCATATATCTGGATCACGAAAAACTAGTTTAAATGACAGTTTCCAAATTTTTTTTATTTGCTTACCATTAATAGTAAGTCACGCTGTGAGTCTTAAAATGAACTTTGAGTTTTATTTTGTTCCAATACGAAACTGTGTCCAAGAAATATACGTTCTTATTACACATATACAGCTGCTGTATGTTTGTATTGTTGTTTGGGAAATTTGTAAAATATTATCCAAGGGATGTGATCACCTAATAAGTCACGCTAAACAAATCTTTCTTACTAATATTAGGCATAAAAACATATTTTTAGAAGATATAAATCGATTAAGAAACACCTAGTGATGCTCCATGAGGAAATTGTACGATTCAATAATCTTACAGAAAAATCGCTGTTCTTCTTGGTTGTTCTTTTCGCTTTATTTATTATTAATGCATTTTCCTTTATTTCTGTTTTTGCAAGTAAACCAAACGATTTGCACTTTGAAACCAGTTATAGCCTTGTTAACATATTTTCATTCATGGTAAGTATTATTTTTATCAGTTAATAGGTGCATTAATATATTTCGCAGAATTTTGTGCTGACTTGACTGGGTTCCATATTTGAATCATCATAGATTTTTAGAGCTTTTCCCAACTGCGAAATCGTTTCAGGCATTTATTTATTGTTATGCTAGATTTAGCTATACAACTCACATTCCCTCTAAGGGGAAAATTCACTCATACCAGATACCTACGGTATTAAAAGGACTGAGCTCTAGTGGGACACTTTCCGTGTTATAGAGCCCTAGTGACTTGATATGCTAGAGTATCTCCCAAAGATTTTCATACACGTTCGGACGTCACGAGGAGTACAGCTTTTTGCATAGCCCTGTATAGATGTTCATTTAGACCTAGCTGTTTTATGTTATCTAGGAGGTTTTTGGGAATAACACCAATAGTAGATAGAACAATAGGTACCTATTGTCCTAGACCTAGGTCTGGGTACTTTCCATTTTCCATTGTCTCCTGATTGGTATTCCTAGTTCTCTGTACTTGGCGATCTTTTTATTGTATCTAACACGCAAATTATTGGTTTTGTTTGCCTAGTAAGTTTATTAACTAGTATGAAATCCAGTCTATTATGTGCCACTGGTTGGTCTGTGAGCATAGTGTGGTCCTTTTATAGTTTGTAGTTGTCATTTTCATGTCATGGACGTATTGATAATAAGAAAGATGGTCGGTTTGAAGAAGTCCCAGTTTGTGATGTAGTTCTTGGTGGATAATCTTTCCTAATGAGCCATAGCGTTCTTTATAATCAGTACCGACAAACGCGTGGCAGCCACCGGTAACATGTTGGATGGTTTCTTGGGGTCGGCATTTGTCATTTTGGACTTGAGGATCGTTAACAATATATTTCAGGTAATTTTTAGTTGGAATTACCTGATCCTGAATGGCAAGTAGGAAACCCTTAGTCTCGGGAGACATATTTCTTCATGTCAACATTATAACAAGAATGGATCGATTTTTTGTGTACATTTTTACGCCTGAAAAAAAGTGTGATAAAAATTAAACAAAGTAAAGAATCTTGATAAAAATTTACAGTCGGGTTAAGCAAAGAGTAAGAAACTTAAAAATAATAAAAATTTTTAAAAAATGTTAACACAAAAAAAACTGGCAGTGACTAAAGTTGGTAGAGTATAGCGCACTCCAAACAAATCTTTTTCGCATATTCCAAGCAAATTGTTTTTTGACAATGAAAGCATACAATAAGCTGTCTTGTTATAGTGACAGTAAGAACAGTCCTTTCTTTTTTTCAAATTTTTCCACTATTACTTCTGGACGCCGTTGAGGTTCATCTATACCCAGTATCTCGCATATGTTCAAGTTTAGTTTTCTAGGTAAAGATGAACTTTCTAGTCTTCTGTTTAGCTGAGGTTGGATAAGTTGAAATGCCAGTTTTTTAATAAAATTGGGCCTTTCTAACTAAGTATTATTTTTAAAAGACCCTTAAAGAATATAGGCATTTACTGTACTTATATCAAATATTCTGAAAAATATAGTCATAGACCAACGACGATTTCGACGACTGCTTGTAAATGTCGCACATTTTTCGTCCATTGAATCGACACTGCTCTTTTGTTAAATTATAATCCACTATTATGTGAGATTTTTTAGTGTCTTTATCCTCAGTGGCTGCGTAATGAGATGATGATACCAAAATTACGGCTTTATTTTATTGTGTTGTGTGTGAAAGTAAAGTAAAGTGTTTTGTAAATCCTTAAATTGCCGTTTCCACTTCTCGTCGTCTGGTGGGTAAGAAGATAGGAGGAATTTCTTGACGATTCTTGCGGGAATTCCTGCTACTTTACAGGCTTACTCGGTATGTACATTTTAAAGCGACATCGATCTCTGAATCTCACTATCATTTCGTCAATAAAGGCTTAAGTTCCTATAGAATAGCATGCCTGACAGTTGTTAATAAATTCACTAAAAATTTCTGAAATCGGTGCTGCTGGATCCAACACTGTTCTGTCATTTCTGTCTTCGGGATTGTCAAATCGCAAACATGACAAAAGGAACTCACATCTCTCTTTTGACATAATGGATCTCATGTCAAGGTCTTTGAGAGAAGGTGAATTTTGATTTTTGTTGAAGAATTATGTTGCAAATATTATCACTGCATAATAACTTTCAAACCTGCAAAGGGTCTGCACTATCACCAATTTCAGCTACAGGGCGTAATCCTGGACGTAAAACTATATTTTTCTGTGAACGCCGGCCTCTATTTGAAGTGGAAGGATTTTTTGACAATTTGTATCTATTTCTACCATAGAAATAATTCCTTGTCTCGTCTGGATCGTCTTCTTCACTGCTTTGGTCAACATTATCTTCTCTACAAGCCTGTTCTACCTCATTTTCATTTTCTGAAACTAAAAAGAGAACTTTAGGTAATGTTATACTATGCGGTCTACCGTTAAGTTTCTACTATAGCTTACGGTCTACCCAGGGATGCGGTGTATACGCTGTATTCGACAAAAAAATCTTTACAAAGTGAATAAAACGGATAAACTATAAGAATTTCTATTTTAATTTTACAAATCAAAACTGTCAATAAATAATTTTTCTACCTTATGCGTTTTATTCATATTGTAAAGATTGTTCTTGTTGGTATTGTATACATGTGCAGCTAATCACCATAATCTTTTCTCAGAAGGGTTTGCAAACAATATTGAAAGGCACCTTTGTAGACGAACTCTTTATTACTTAGTACAATAAACATTTATACTACTATTATTTAGGAATATAAAATAAACTATAGACGTTTTCATCTTTCTTGGCGTGTGCGTGTAAAAACACTTGCAATAAGTTGTTTCATCTGTCTGTCCTTGTCTAAGCTCGATTCGTTTACCTCCTCCAGTGGCAGCTATCTGTATTGGTAAAGAGGACGAACTTATCACCGACACCGTATCGGCCAAACGCATCGGTGTTATTGCTACAATACTGGGAGACGTGAGTGGTCTCTTCATTCCCTTCTCATCCCACTTTACCATGACAAACGCAACTCGCACAATTGAATTACGCATCTGTGTATCAGAGATAGACGAATATTATAAATTCCGTAGTAGCTTATTTCAGGCACACGTCAAGAACGATGAAACCGAGTTTATACAAATTTATTTTCTTTACTAATATGCAAATAACACCCTAATCTTTTCTCAGGGTATGCACAAATATGAACCCCTCTTTTCAAATAACATGGCCTGGTAGATTTACTTTCATTTTATTTTACATTGATTTTGCTCCAAATGTTTATTACTTGTGAATAAATTATTTTTTTTTACAAGACTTTTCTTGCATCTTATTTTATTTTTTATTTTGTGCATCCGGTAGATCGCACCCTCGAGGTAGACCGCATACTACAGTAACACCGAACTTTAGTACAATACATACATAATAAACTTTGAAAATTAAGGCAATTATATCGAGCACAAGTTTAATCAAATCTTGCCCAAGTACTTTCGCTTAATATAGCATCTTCAGGGTCATTTCATCAAATATGGGCTATCCAGCAAGCGTAGAAAGCGATGAACATGAATGTTAACATAAAATTGTACAAACACTACACTAAAACAAGGTTTTAGTGTAGTGTTTTAACAACCAGTTTAAAATTAGTTAAAATATTTCTACGCTCTACATTCTTTGGCGGTAACAAGAGAGAGAGCTCTCTGAATATATTCTTCTATATGATATTATTATTTTTACTTTTATCTCACCTTTGAAAAATTCTTCAGTTGTTCATTTTTGTAATACATAAAGATTAAAAATCTGTTTTTTAGGCGTTTTCCGTCATTCCTATTTTGTCGTGTGACAAAATCGAGAAAAAATTGGACGAGCTAGCTCAGACTTGCGTCTACATTCAATCGAAAACTGCAGATCCTCAAGCAGAAGATCTAGTAACTATGACCAAACTGTTAAACAGGAAATACTCAGCAGCAGGATTTTTTGACATCAACCAAAGATTGTTACCACAGCTATTCTCAGGACTAATGACTTATCTGATTGTAATATTGCAGTTTAATGTTGCTGTTTTTAAAAAATATATTAAAAATGATCTAGAAAAAGTTAATTAAAGTCACTACTACATTAAATATTAGATCTTTCAAATTTATTTTATTGTATGGAATATTCCGTTGTGGTCTAGATTAGTAGGTACTGTTTAACTCCATTATATAAGTTAAGAATTCGATGTAAAGCAAAAGAGATTAATAAATACTAGTAAAGCCTTCTTCTACACTTTATATTATTTATTCTAGGAATTAAACAATTGTCGTCCCTCCATAACTACCCATTTTCCATAACATGTAAAATAAGTACGCAATATGTTTTATTTTTTAAATATAGTTTTTCAGAAATCATTTAAGAATATTCATAGACAGGGTGAACTACTAAAATTACGATTTTTTCTATATACATTCTTTTATTGATCATACAACACAATGGCAATCGCTGTAGCATAATACACGTTTCCACCTCTATATTCATTTTACAGTAGGTATGAATTGTCGTAATTGTCACATTAATATTATAAATGTCAAACGAAGTTCTGAAAGAATAAACAAATAATTAATAAAATGCCTATAACGTTGTATACCTACCGTCCAAGAAAAAGTGCAACTTGTAATATGGTACTTTCAGGATAATTCGATAGGCGAAGTAATTGATTTATTTATTGTTGCCTTCGAAAATAGACTCCCACCAAGTGTTACAACAGGTAAAAATACCATTAAACATTTTCACACTTCGGGATGTGTTAACAGTTGTAAAAAGTGTTGTAAAAAATGAAAGTAATGAACCACGTGTTAGATCTGTAGATGGGGAGTGTCAAAACAGGGATATTGATATTTGTGGTTTTGTGGAAGCTGGTGAACCCTGCAATAGTGTATAAATTGCTAGGGAAGTTAACGTGAATGCTTGAACTGTTCAGCGAGTTATCAAAAGGAATGAGTATCACTGTTTTAAGATACAACCAACAAAACGCATAACATTAGGCGGATGGAGTTTTGTGTATTTATGTTAGATAAACAGAATGAAAATGTACAATTTTTTAAAAATATTTTATTTTCTGACGAATCTTCATTTTTGTTATATAAAAACACAATCCATTCGTTGAAAGGTATTATTCTCGGAAAAATAAACACCTTAGTGTTGCAGTGCGAACGCAGCATCTGCAAAAGTTAAATGTTTGGACTGGGATATTAGGCGACTATATTGTCGGTCCATTTTTTATTGATGGAAACCTAAACGGGCGCAAATATTTACAACTTTACATAATGAGATCATCTCGGCAGTTCTGAAAACAAACAAAAACAATATTTTTGTAATTATTTTCTTGATGTAGAACCCTGACATTTGAATAGTCAAATTAATGCCCAGTTTTTAAGTGATGGTCAACTGCCGCACATGTATTCTTCTTTTTTGTGCAGTCACTTTTGTGTTGTGTGACTCTTTGTTTTAGCCATTGAGAAGTTTGGCCAACATAACAGCTCTGGCAATCCAAACAAGGCAGTTTGTAAATAACATTAGTTTTATTTAAAATTGGTGTCTTGTGTTTTACTTAGAAATGTGTCATATTAATAGAGAAAACTATGCAGTAAATTACAAGGCAGACACGGGACAGTTGAGCAACATCTACTGTAATATTCTTAGTATGTTCAAATAATTTTTCTGTTTACAATTATATTTTAAATCACTCTGTATACTTTTAATGTGTAATTTATTTTTAATGTGTAATTTTATTGTGTTTTAATTGTTTCTTGGTTGTTTTTCTTTGCTCTGTTTTTATCATCGAGCAAAAAGACAAAAGAGGGAATGTAAAGGTAGTGGGGACAAAAATATTGTTAGACAGGAAGTGCCATCTTGAGAGGCCACTTTAAACAAGGAAAGACAGTCTCTTTCCTTGTTTAAGAAATCAAATTTAGTTTGGTTATGTTATTGTTTGTCCCAACTGTCACATGAAATTTTATTTATATTGAAGTTTTTTACCATTTGTGTCACATTTTAGACTATTATCGTTAATATTTAATTAAAACTTTCTCGTCTGAAAAATATTTTATAGCTATTGTTAATAAGTGTCGAAAAATTTAAATTTAGCGCCTTTGCATTTCCGGATATGTCCGCCATCAGAGGCCACTTTTTTGGTCTCCTTTTCATAACGGTTAGATTCCCTCTTTGGTCTTTATGCTCGATGGTTTTTATATTTAATTACTAGTGATCTAGGTGCTTTTAACCAATATTGTCAGTACTGTTTTGAACATATTATGTACAACTTTTTTAAATATTTTTAACAATGAAGCTGATAAAAAATCAGCGAAATATAGAGAATTAAAAGAAAAAAGAGTTTTTTTTAAATATCAGACCGCATACCCAATACACCAATACAATTAATTGTTATATATATATATATATATATATATATATATATATATATATATATATATATATATATATAATAAATATCGTTAAAAATTGTAAAACACAACATTGAAAGTACTGTTAAGCACAGTTGTCTAACACTAGAAATGCATCCATAAACAAGTCGGAAAATTTCAATGAACATTCAGTTAAAAAGTAAATAAAGGAAACCAAGTAATTTAGAAGAGTCGTATTAAACAAAGAAGCGAAGGTAAAACGTCTACTTCGCTAAAACATCTTTAAAAACATGCAAAATAACGACTACCAATTTCAACAAAGAAAATTTAGAAACACAGGAGCATCGAGTTTTGTGTCTCGATATGCAGATATTCTTTTTGCTTCTATCGAATAAATAAAACAAACTCCAAGGAGGTATAAAAGTAGAGAGGAGACCATTCCCCAGCGAGGCAATTAAAGCTTCTTATCTGCATAAAGAGACACGGGAGCGAGCGAGATGGACGATCAACTTCGCCTTTATAGGGATCGGAATTTTGGACAGAAAAAATAAGGGTTGCGCAAATTTAAAATGGAAAAATTAGTATTGGGAAAACTACCAACCATTCACGATCCTACTGTAAAAGGTGTGGAGGAATGGCAATGGTCTTAAAGAAATCTTCATGAAAATACAATAAACGTCATTTTCTCGCCTCTCGTTCCCCATCTCTTCGTCGATCCATTCTGTCCAGCTTCTTTATTTTCTTCCTTTTTTTAAGTTGCACTTAACACTCTTTTGCGATTCTTTGATTAGTCATCCGATATTGTTAAATACCGAAAAGTGAATCTCTAAAAAACTTTCTCGCCATGTACCTGTTAAAAGAAAATTGAGAATATATGAAAAAGCGAAATGTTAGAGCTGACAATAAACGAGAAATTAGAAATTGCAAAGCAACGTATAAATAAGGTGTAAAACAGATTGGAAAGGCTTGAAAAGTAATCTATAAGGAACAATGTTGTAGTAACTGAAATAAAGATTGATACAGATGAAAAAAATAAAAGAAGATATGACATATTTTATAAAAATACTCATAAACGAGTATTAAATGTAGAAAGAGCAATGAAACTCAGGCTACAAATAAGAGAACACGTGGGAAAAAAGATTTATGCAAAAAAGAGTTAACCAAAAAACTTAAAGGGAGAAAAGTTATTCATAAATGATGGTTTAACAGCCAAAGAAAGAGAAACGGGAAAAAAATTAACCGAAAAATGTGAAGAACTCAGGAAAAATGGTAAAAGTAGGTTTTAAAAAGAACATACTAGACGGAGAGGAATGGAGATGAAAAATTTAGGGAATTTTTAAAAATATTGGGATGCAAAAAACGGAGGTTGCGGAGAAGGAAGAGAAGTCGGAAAAACGTGGACAATCGGTAGTAAAACACAAAGAGTATGATAAAGGCAAAAATGACAAAACCCTGGCTATGACAAAGGACACGAATAAATTAAACCAAATAATAACAAGAGTAAAACATAGAGACACATCAAATACGAAAAAAAAATGAGCATACTATTTGGAAAATTGAAGCGTGGAACAAAAGGAGCATAAATGGTTAAGAAATAGAACAAATAGAGGACTTTGAGGAAGCAGAATTAAGTATACTAGCAATATCATAGCCTAAGAAAAAAGGACAATAAACAGGAAAATGCAAAATAATCATGCTTTAATATATTGTGCAGTATCAGAAGACAAAAGAGCAGCAGTTTTAGATTGTATAATGCATAAAAGAATGGAAAAACATATATACTTTTGGAAAGCTTGGTCAGGGAGAATATCACTAGTAGAAATAAATGATAATGATCGTAGCCGCAATAAAACTATTATAGCAGTATATGGACCAAATGAAAATGATAATGCACAAAGCAAAAATAATTTTAGGGAGAGCTAACGTTGGCAACAGAAGTCGAAAAAAGAGAAATATTGACTGATTTCGCGCGCGTAGCTGACATTTGTTGATGTAAGTTCTGAACGTTGATTGCCAAAGTTAGGAACGTACAAGGCACTTGAAGCATGAGCTGACATTCACAAACGGCAGGTCGCTTCAAGCGTTGCTTCTGAGAGAACGGTTTATTCTACAGAAAAAGTGCTAATTAACATTTTTGTTTAGAATTATCTCAACTACATTTTTTAAATATTGTTTTCCTACAGCGAACAGACTCTTATAAGGAGAGTGTTCCAGAAATGAACATATTGTTTTAAAATATAAAATAAAAATATAATTCTTTGACTTTTCTTAGTGTATAATAACTAGAACAGTGCCCTTATCAAGTTTGAACGCGACATCCTGGCGTTTGACGTCTCGTTAAATATTTTTCACACCTAAATAAAATAAGGGTAATCTTCCCATTTTACGCATTATGTAGTGTTTTATCAGTTCAATAAGAGCAGTTCAAGTTTACACATGGCCCTGGAGCCATACATTTGATATTGTATAGTAAGTTACGGCCGTGTTGGGCCTCTCTACTCTTAAAAGATTTAATTATAAATCGATAAACTTAAAAGTGATTTTATTTCTTTGGAGCTATATTTGCTTACATTAAGAATCATTATCCTTCAACGGTCACTGAAGAACCAAACCTATGGAGATGCATCCATTCACAAGTCCTTTGAAGTAAGGCTTGGAATCAAAAGATTTCCAACTCTCATGATGTAGGTAGCCAGTACAAG